ACTACTACTCCTACTCACCCGTCAATGTGTGTGTCAGGGTGTGTTTGTGCCTACGGTATGACCGAGTTTTACTGCCGATTAAGTGAGGTTATAGGTTTGGAAATTTAAGACTGGCCGGTGGACTAACAGTCTTCGCGGAGTCTCCTGCTGCGTGGCTCCAGGAGCGAGGGCGCACGTGACGCACGTCCAAAGCAGGTGTAAAGTCACGTGGGCCCTCGTTTAGCAGCAAACAAAGCGAAATGTGTCGGAGTAGTTTGCTGCTTATGATGGCCTTAAAATGCAGTTCAAGCACAGAACTTGGTCAAACGCTGACCGTCCGCGCATCTTTTTTTTTTTACCCATACACCTGCGTTTTTTTTTTGGTTAATCTGGGCTCGCAAAAGCTCGGTGACGCACTTTAAATTCCAGCATCACCCTGTTGCAGTCCCGTCCTGAGGTAGGTTTCATTCATGGCAACCATTTTTAATCTTGTTGCTGGATGCGTGATACAATTCGAACAAACAATGACTTTAGTGTTTGTCCATTAAACGTGTTTCATCTTTAGCTTTTATTTTCTGTCTTTATGCAGTGAGCTATATTATGAACTCCATCGTGTGATATTGTGGGTGTAGGTAGGTTTTTTTTTCAATAAAAGGCCTTCAATCCCAGCAACACCTGTTAATGTATCATTTTCCTTGCTGGTGGAGGGGCGGGGTCACTTGCTGCACCCCTCAAACACACTGCCTGGGAAAGTAACCCTTTACAAAGCCCTGAGCCCCGGGCAGGTCACGAACAGCTGGTGCTACGCGGTCCTCACACCTCCACTGATCGTGGGGGAGGTGCGATCCCCTGCTGTGCCTGTATGAACAGCTCTGATGGTTTTTCCTTCAGGTGCCTGTCTGCTCTTTGCAGGTCAGTAGCAGAGACTGACACCTCAGTGATACAAGCAACAGACCCTCCCCACAAACTGTACTGTAAATACATACGAACACAACAAAATGAGCTGATTCTCACTTCCAGTGGCTAAGGCCTGTTTTTTGTTGGTTAAGGGAGTTGCCAAAATCTCTTTTCTGAAAACCCCTAGCATCAATTGGGAAAGTGAATTATCCTTATTACGCATAGTTAATGAAGTGGTCAGATTATCCATCTCAAGGACACACAGGAAGAAGGCTCCACAGCCAAAACTGTTGTGTTTCTTTTCTGCTCTTTTCAGCATGGAATAAACCTTTTACTTTTTCCCGATTAAATACTAAGTTTTGCAAGTTGTTTATGGGCACAGAAGGATATGCACAAGACTGCTAAACATGTGAACAGGTACAGTATAGAAACTTTCAGTTCATGTGTCTTGTGGCACATCAATTCAGGATCCTCTAATCAAACACACAGTCCCATCTTCTGCCCATCTTCTCCGGCATTGAGCCCCAGATGGAAAGCAGGTGGAGAGTGGACTTGTCCACTTGTGGGGGTGTCACGATCTTCAGGAAGTGGGCGGGACTAGAGAGACTGTAGCGTGAGCCGTTCACAGAAACGAGCATGAAAGCAGAAACTGACACGACCCGCCAGAGGAGACGCAAAATGTGCCTTTTACAAGAGGATGTCAGCATGAGTTAATTACTGGTTCTCCAGGGGGTTTTCGTCTGTAGTGGTGTAGCCATGTGATAGGTGCTATATGACAGATGTATACATTATACAGTGTATACAAATGAGGTGTCTGCAGTCTGTGTACAGTGGCTCCAGTGCCTCTGCACCTGGCTCATCAGCTCTGTGGTGCTTATTAATTATAAAGCCGACAGTCCATTGTATTTCACTCTTGTTCTCTGGCACTCGTTTTGTTTTGCAGCTACAAAGGAGCTTATATCGCTGTGGTCCTATCTCACAGAGGCAGAATGCAAGTACAGTTGCACTGTATGTTACTGGTTTCCCTGCTTGCTTTTCTTAGGCCATTTGTGTAATCTAGTCTTGTTAGTGCAATCGGGTGCCCCCTGTTTGGACCTTTTTTCTTCCAGTAAGGCAGTTTAAAGCAAAGCAGAGAAAGAAAAATGCTTCTCATTGTGATGGGTTTTCTGTTGTCTGGTGGGGAGAACAAGTTTTGAAGCTGGGTCCCTAGGGGAGATGAGCGATTTAGTGTCCACAGTCCGTGCCTGCCACCAGTCGTTGTAGATCATATGCAACATTGTACCAAGGGTGCCACATTTCCAGGAAGGGTCACCAGCTCACAGAAACTCTGTGCTTGGCGATCCCCAACCGAGTTGAGTTAGCCCTGAGAATGACAGGTTTCCAGCAGACAAACTTCACAGCATGTTGGTCTTCCAAAATCTACTTCTGATCAGTCTTATACAGTCCTCTGCGCATTGAAAAATCCAAGCCCATGGCATTAATTATACCGGGGTTGATGTTGGTTTTTAACTGAATTGGCAAAACTCAGAGGAGTGAGGTCATTAACTTAGTGTCAAAAGAAGGATCTTATTACAGCCCTGGTGATTAATGTTTATGTCATTTTATTATTTTACTTTTTAGTAGTAGCTTCCGGACAGTGTCAGGCTATCTGGAACAGGTCTGCAAGAAAACAACCTAAAAGGCAATCAGCCGTCACTAACTAACAAACTGACAAAACAGCAGTGGTGGTAATAAAAACACCCCAAATCAGTTCAGAATACTCATTCCTTGCTGCTGGGATTAGATTTATGACATTTTAGACACTCTGGTTATAATTTTTGTGGCATAGTGGCACAGTGTTTGGGTTTCCTGCCACAGTCCAAAACCATACTGGTCAGGTAATTGACTTCTGGGAAAACTGGCCCTTGTGGGAGTATGTGCATGTCTGTGTCGGTGTGGGCCCCACGATCAGGGACGTGTTAGTCTGAATGTATGATCTTGTCTGATTCAAGTTGTCTTTCACTCTCCCTTGTCCTCTTTTTCAACTGTATCCATTTTTTTTCCATGTGCGCATCTCAATGAAACAGACTGTAAGCAAACTGTGACTCCCCCTTTCCACACACCCACCCATCCCATCTGTTTTGTGACTCCTTTCTGCCAGGGGAGGGAAAGCAAACATTCAGTCAGGAGAGATAAGGGACCTGACAGCAAGGACTTGCAGTGGAATCACCATCAGCACACAAACAAATTGCCTTCTATGCAGCCACTGGCAGGAGCAAAGCAAGCAGCACAGAATGTGTCATGAAGTGCATACAGTGCTGCCGAACGCACAGGTTAATTCTGTACACCAGGTCAACTATACCTACAGAGGGAGATACAGAGGGAGATATTAACATATGTGGTTTCAAGATGAGCAAAAAAATAATTGGAAACAGCACAACACGCAACATGGAGCAGACACAACCATCTGGTAGTTTAGTCTCGTGGGCGGTGCATGGCCTGACACAGATGCTCATGTTGAAGGGTGAATATTTTTAACCCACAGGCATGGAAGCTCTACTGGACAGCTCCAGTGCTAATCGTTCCCTAGCTTCTTTGCTGGTACAGCTTCCCGTGAATTTTTGTCCTTTGTATTTCATTTTTTGTGTATCAACACAGGTACTGTCTGTTACTAACCAAGTGGTTTTGTCATCAGAGATAAACTGTTGTAAAACAGAATAAAGAACCAAATAAACTTAAGCAAATACCTTCATGCACTTTATATTTACTGAAGCGACATCAGAATAGTCTCGAAGACACTCAATTGTAAACAGTCATGAAGACATCCTTTCTGTTGCTTATTATAAAACTTTTTTCTTATTTCTACAGAACTAAAGATCTGATTGGTGTTTTTTTTAGTAAGAAATCCCAGACAGAGACAGTCACAGGTATCACAATCTTTCTTTTTTCTATAAATCAGATCATAATGAAGTCTGGATGGGTGGGATGGTTTTGAAGTCCCACTGCCTGGATACCATAATTGCACAATGGCACTTCCTCCTGGGAATATCATCACAGTAGATTTTATCTGTTTATAATCATAATCCCTCGTTTCCGAATTTAGAACCTTTGCCCTGGTCACTTAGGAAAGTTCCATAATCCAGTGTCTGTATAGAAAAAAAAGATTGAAATGATCTGAAAGATGGGTGTCCCTGAAATGTCCTGAGCATGAAACGGCCTATTTTGAGGAAATGTGAGGAAATCTGTTCACACAGGTGGAAAGTAAATACATAAACAGTTATTTAATCTACTGCAAACAAAGGCAGCCAGCATTTCCCCTGAAAAGAGGCTCTAGACAGTATTTGTACTTTGAAGTGGAAATATGAGTTGAAGCCGTTGTGATGAAAGTTCAATCAATCGGCTGGAAGAAGAACGTGATACATGAAGCATCATTGGTTGTATAAAATACATTATTTTCTGTACTGCTCAACATTCATAATATCCAACTAAATTAAACCATCCAAAGACATGGTAGATGAATTGTCTTCGTGGAAAATTAGCCTGCTGTGAGTGTGTTTGTGTCCGTGATGGACTGGCGTCCTGTCCAGGATGTGTCCCATCTTGCGGCTGCCGATAGCCAGGATAGGCTCTGGCTCCCTGAATTGGATAAAGAGGTTAGGAAATGGATGGATGGAGTATTGAAAAGACCTAACGAAGAGCAAGCTTTAGTAGGCTTTTGTCTATACCTGTATGCAACCTAAAAAATCAATCTTAAAGCTGGACTTTGGTGAGCAGAAGGCTGTTTTGGGTGTAAAGGTGGTGTGCATTTGTGCTTTACCAGAGACGATGAGGTCCCCTTTTTTACATGCAGAAACAATGCAGAACAGATCAGCATGTACTAGCTCCGCTGTGAA